GAACAAAAGAAAAACAAAAAACAAAAATGGCCGCATTTTACTGAATGTCAACTCTAAATATGTTGGAAAAGTAAATAAAAATGTTTAGGTCACATTCTTACGTAATATTATGTTTCCTGCCGGTTCTATTTCAATTAGGAACATGTGAGTATTATCCCCTATATTTTCGTAGTAAAACCATTGAAAAACAAATCTTAATTTTAGTAGCGCACAACGGGTGCATTTTTGCATTTTTATCTTTACCTTTATTTTCGTGAACGAGACCTTGTAAAACTCGTTACCGTTGTTTAAAATGCTTATTTGTAATTTAATGGGTCAGCCCAAGGCGAGCCATATGTGTTTTTCCGCAAATTGCATTCGACGCGTAAGGGCTTTAGCTAGACGAAAATTTAGGTGTACTAACGGTATTCCGCATGTTATCCTTTCACTTTTGCGCTAGTGTCCTTCTAACTGTTTGCTTTGGCTACAGTTATGTTACGTTAGATAATCCGTGGATTAATAACCCTAACTGTGCCCCAAGGATAAGCAAGAGCCTGGTGAAATAACTGTTGAGCGTATCGGGTCCTACTGAACGTATTAGACCATGCATGTTTACTGCTTATTTAAAAAAAAACAAAAATATCCTAAAAAATTTGACAATCATTTTATTGTTAATGGTATTTACAATGGTATGACTTTTTAGTAATAGATTTCGTGTTTTAGAAGGAAGTAAATTTTGTTTATATTTAATGTTTGCGTTTAAATTAGTTTTAAAGTTTATGGTTTTAAAAAAATATATAAATACATGAAATATTTAATGAAACAACTATAAAATATTAATTGCATGTATATTAAAAATTTATTTAAATAAATATAAATATATAACGCTAAAAAATTAGCTATTTTTCTTGTATTCTTTTACTACAGACAACACAAAAATGTCTAAGAAACTGTGAGTTATCAGTTGCATTTTTAAAATATTAAATAATACCTTTAAGAGACAAATTCTTGGTTTATTGTTTATTGATAAAATAGATGCCTTACCATAATTAAGTTAACAATAATTAACTGCAAGCATTTGCATTAAAAGCTTATTGTATGAGTAAAGGCTGCACAACATTACAGGCAATGAGTGTTCTACAGGATATACTTGTGACAGAGTGAGCGATGGAATTGCATAAATTCATTCCGCCATCCCCTTTCTGTCATTGAAGGACTAGACATAGGCTAGGGTTCCACCCATATATTATGGATATACCCAGGATTGTCACAAAAAGCTTAGCTTCCACATTTATATGACGTACGGCATTGGAGTGGAATTTTCTGTCCAATTTGTTCCTAGACTTTTCAAGAGGAGAATGAATAGGTATTGTATACTTATACATGAACATAACATGAACACCCGTTCATGTTAAATCAACAACCTCATCACTTTCAAGCTAGTCAGATGGAGCTCAAAAGCACAGCTTTTTTTATGATACCAAGTGAGTGAGTGAAGACGAACAAGTTGTGCACCTTTTTCTGTGGCAGTTGCAGTGCCATTTAGAGCTTTAAATCGCAAAGATCCGAGAGATACTGCCACTGCGCCTATCGCCCTGAGACATAAGTTGACAAGTCCCGTGTGTCTGAAATTTCTACAGCACCCTTATCCTTCAAAACCGGAACGCATAATGCTCACATTACTGCTTGGCGGCAGAAATAAGTAAGATGGTATTTGTTGTAATTATTAATTCAACAAATAATATTTTTTCAACAACTTTTAGTCGTAGCGCCATCTATGAGAAATTTATGAAAGATTTATCACCCAGTTAGTACCTTTACAGCTACCAGCCCTGGCGAAAGATGTCGTTATTCTCTCTATTTTAAATTTTTATTGAATTGGTATTCAATTATTTTACTCCACTAGTTTGTTATAATTATTAATACAAAGATGGAACACTCAGAAAAAAATTGATATCAATCGAAGGAATTTTCTTCTGAGTGTTCGATCGTTGTATTAATAATTATAACAAACTAGTGGAGTAATTTCACAAAAAATAATTGAATACCAATTGAATAAAAATTTAAAATAGGGTGGTATTTCCTTGTATGAACTCTTCACAAGGACCTCTACTTCTATTAAAATAACTTGTAATAAGATAAACTCGTGCCCAGCAGTGGATTGTTCGATTGGTTGATACTGTTAAAGAAGCCTGTTCAATAGGGCCACTAAAGGCGTTAGTTATTATAGGTTTTCTGTAGGTATAATTTGCTTACTTGCTCTCTAGTCTCATAATTACACATTCATCGTGTCTTTTTATTTCAAGTTTAAACAAAGCGCATTTGAATTCCTGAGTTGAGAACAAAAAGTTTTGTTGTTAACTCATAACAAAACAACCTTTGAACACTTTCTTTTGCTTATTAGTGTATTAATTACTAGCTGGTGCCCACAGCTTTGTCTGCATAGAATATGTACTTCGAATAGCCTACTGTACTACTTACTTGAGAAATAATTGGTTCTCCATACAAATAAAAAATAAATAAATCTGTTGAAGGTTCTATTTCTATACCAAAATTAATCAAGTTTGGTTCAGCGGTTTTCGCATGAAAACGTGACAGACAGAAGTACTTTCGCATTTATAATATCAGTTTGGCTTAACCGCAGTTAAAGAAATTGTGAGGTTTGTTATCGTTTGTAAAATGACAGATCCTATTTGGGGAATTTATTTATACAGATTTACTTTGTACAACTTACTGCATTGCAGCATGTAAGTCATAGTCATATAAAAGTTGTGTCAATCACCGGCCAAAAATGAGCATATTAGCAGCAGAGCTTCTTGTGGATGAGTTCGTCCAGGAAATTAGTGCCGTGTTACCTATTTCTGCTGCCAAGCAGTAATGTGAGCATTACTACGTTCCGGTGTTGGAAGGGAAAGGGTGCTGATGAAATTACAAGCACATGCGACTTGTCAACTTATGTCCCAGGGTGACGGGCCACTAAAATCTTTGCGATTAAAAGCTCTAAGTGACACTGCAGCACAGCACTGAGCTATAGGTAAAATAGGCGTGTCGCTTATCACCAAGTGCACGACTTGTTCATCAAAAAAGCTGCAAAATTTGGACCACAGCTCTTTAGGTGGTGAGTATCTCTAAATAGTAACATGTTAGAAATTTTGATTTGACATGTTTACTAATGAATCTAATATCTACTGTCTTAATGTATCTTATCTTCTACATGATTTGGGGCAGGACGTGTCGATATTAGCCGTGTCGATCGCCGTTGCAGGCTGCCACATTACTCCCCCTCCAAAAAAATGTTTTTTGAGTGGTTTGTCTGACGACGTTCTTGATCCTCTTCCTCCCCAGTCCCCTGCTCGATCACCATTTTAACTATGATTATAAAAACGACTGTGTATACGGTAAAAACCAGTTGTGCACAGATTGTTGTTCTTTTGAATCTATTGGAGTAAAAGATTCTTTATCTGGTCCGCTTCTTCTTGTTGCAAGGTTATTTTTCAGGCGGTAATGTGCCCTGCTGCGTTCTCCTTTTGAAGGGCAAGGGTACTGGTGAAATTAGAGGCACGTGGGACTTGTCAACTTATGTCACAGGGTAACGGGCGCAGCGCCCCTCATATCTCTGCGATTTAAAGTTCTGAATGGCAATGCAACTGCTATGGACAGGCATGTCGCTAACCACCAGGCGCACGACTAGTTCGACCCGTCAATTTGTCAATCGATTTAAATAAAACAAACACTAAATGTTAACCCTGACTTATCTCGATACATCACCGAAAACCACATCCAAATTGGTTCAGCCATTACAGAGATTAGCATTTACAAACGCACAGACCATACATACTATTACCATAAATACTCTGCTTTACTATTCTATGTATTGATTGACCATGGAAAACCTAAGGTTACAAGAATATAAGTCGATCCTGATCTTGATTGTATATTTAATTTAATAATGAATGTATAATTCGAAATAACCCACGCAAAACAAGTCTAATTGCGGAAAACGCAGCTCGGAACCCGATGTCAATAATTCGATATGTTTACGATGTGGGTATCCACATTGTAAACATTTAAGCGTTTAAATAACTGATTACTTGAACGTAAATGTCTACACCTTGGGTATTCATTGTTTACAATCATTATGCATAACTACTGTTATTTGATGAGGCAATATTGATACACCAGCCATTTGCACGAAGTACTGTGCTTCCTCCTTCCTAATGGCCGTAGTACACATTGGCCGATGCTGACCCACTATAGGTCATTACAATTATGTACAAGGGGCAATTGTGCGTATAATTGCCAGTAGACAATGGCGATGCTGTCGGTATTTAAGCCACACTTCAAAGTGATCCCGGCGTAGCGTTTGGCAAGTATGTGGAGCCGGCATTATCACCTCTAGCTGCGGCATGTTTTGTAGCAGTAGAGCTCCTAGAGCCGAGTTCTTATTTCGTGTCGACTTCCGCAAAGTAACGCCTCAATTCTATATATTATTTACAGGCGCAGTAGACATCCCCCGCGCCCCCTTCCTCTCACTCTACAGCCCTGGCGACCCGGAGTACACGGACGTTCTCGTCAAGAGGGTTGAGGAGAACCTTACGCTGGTCTGCGAGCTGCAAGGGGATAGCACGCCGAGGATGTACGTGTGGAACTACGTCGGGGGGAATGTTTCGCACTCCAGTGGAGATAGGTGTGTATGACGAACTCACGGCATGTCTTACTTTCGTTGACTACGGAACAGAACAAAGAATCGTTTAGTTTCTTCATGACTGCTTCTTTAGAGTCTAAGCAACATAACATTAACATTGAAAGTATAACATTGAAAGTATTGGATCAATCGCTTTGTAAAATTGAGGGTATACACTGATTACTATATGGCGAAAGTTCACACGAAAACCACTGTATTCAATAGGTGCTTTACATATACCAATGATTTTTTTTATTATCAACTGAACTAAACACGCTATACTATTTGAAATACATTTTTGAAATAGCTTTAATTTTGTTTATAAAAAAAATTATTCTGATATAAAGCCAGCGTGGTATCGCCTCTTAAGTGAATTGGTGACTTGTGAAGACCACTGTCAAGAACAGACAAATTAATGGAGTATTTTCACAAAAATATTTGAATATTATGGTGGTTAAACGTCGAAACATCGTGACAGTCAACAAAGTTAAAAATTACAATTATAAAGACGACATCTCTAGTCGGCCGCTGGTAGCTGTGAAGGTACCTGGCTGAGTGAAGAAATAGATTTCTCACCTGTTTTGTGTCGGGGGTTTATTTTTTATATTTCATAAATAGCACTTTCATGAATATACTGTGTAGTTAGTGTAAATCTTTAGTTAGTGTAGTAGTTAAAGACTTTTTGTCGTAAAATTAATCTCATTCACTTCTCTCGCAGAACTGTCCCTTTAAGTGCAGTTAAATCTTTCCAGACCGTACATAACGGAACCAGTGGGCCCGTCGACCTTTGGCAAGCTGATGAAATATAACTTGCAGTTGTCGGACAGCGGCCATTACATGTGTTCGTCGCCGCCATTTAGTGTCACGAAGTACATACTCGTGCAGAGCAAAGGTGGTGAGTTATATAACATTGAGAATAAGTGTCGTATTCCAGAACTCTACTCAATGCTCAAGTCAGGATTTGAGCGGACTTGAGTATGATTTCAAGCACTGGAAATACGACCCTAATGGCAAGGACTCGAGTATAATTTTCAGTGCTCACTGCAATACTCAAGTCCTGACTTGAGTATTGAGTAGAGTTCTAGAATACGACTCTCAGGGTCGTATTCTAGAACTCTACTCAATGCTCAAGTCAGGATTGCAATGGAAACGTAAGCACTGGAAATACGACCCTAATGGCAGGGACTTGAGTATGATTTTCAGTGCTCACTGCAATACTCAAGTCCTGACTTGAGTATTGAGTAGAGTTCTGGAATACGACCCTAAGACTTCAAATGCAACATTATTTTCTAAATTCCAAACTTCGGAGGCATTAGAGTTTTACGGAAATAAGCGAATACGATTATTATTAACGATTATTAGTAACTGCCTCCGTGGCCGAACGGTTACCATGCCGGACTGCCACGCAGAGGTCCCAGGTTCGATTCCCGGGCCGAGAGAAATAGTTGTATGGCCTACAATTATTTCTCTCGTGAGTTTGGGTGTAATTTGTGGTTGCCTATGTGTGTGTCCATGGCACCCGCGACACAGGGTTTCCCTAGTGTGGGGCTATGTTGAGTGTGTGCGTTATTTATTTATTTATTTATTGAGAAATATAACTCCAAATATTAACATTATATCTATATCACGAAGTTGTACTTTTGAATGATAAGTATGGTTTATGACACTTTTAAATTTACAACATTCGAATTATTCAAATACACATATTGATTTAACCGAATATTAACATTTGAAGTCTTTAAATATTGAAATTAACCAATTTTTTTCGAAAAAAATTTTTTAGGAAAAAATGACAAAGCCAATGTAACACAATGAAATAGCCATTGTTTCTTATTACTTCAGTTTTTTAAGCAAATGTATCAAATTTTAAATAGTCAACACAACTTGAATAACTGTCACGTGGACATCGGGGGCTTTATGCCACAGCCGGTACCAGGCTACGACACTGGATTTCAGTAGATCCTAAATCAACAACCATGACTGATTTTACTTACTTGGGACCTGTAAAGGGCCCTGTTTAAGCTGTTTTGCATTTTTTATAATTTTCAATTTTTCTACACTCATGCATGTCATATAAATTAAGTATTAGTCGAAACACGTCAGTCCACAATAAATAGAACAAGCAACACCTTATTTGGTTAATTTAGAAAAACTGCAAGACCAAAAAAACAACCTTATTACATTCAACAGGCCCAAAATATTGGTTTGTTTAAGAAAAAATGCTATTTAGATCCGATAAAGTAATTTCATCAAATCTAAAATTATGGACTATAATTATGGATATGATTTAGACGACCTGTGGTGGCCTGGCCACCGCACTATGGGAAATAGTAGAACAATGGCGTATCAAAAATGGTTTTGACCAATGTTTTAATTGAAATACACATTTAATTTTATTTGATAGTTTAGATGTCATACTTTATTATATTGAAGGTTTTTTATGTTAGGTTTTTTTAGTTGATTTAATAAAAATACATCCAAAATGTCACTTCGCGTACTCATCTCGTTGTGCCGTATGATTTTGCAACTTTCGACGTCGTATTTCGTATTGATTTTGTTAGATAAGCTGTTTGTTATTATATATTTCTATAAAGCACGTCTTACGTAAATGTCAAAAATGGTTGATATTTTTCAAATTTATTATGTAATGTACAGAAAATAAATCATAATTAAAAATGGAGACATTAACCTATCTTTATCAAATTCATCAACGGTGTTGACTGTTAGAGAAGCTTGCCGAATTTTCAAATTTCGTATTATTTCATAGCGTAGGTATTAATTATCAAAATTTTATAAATATCAGCTGCGGTTTTGTGCGGTTTCTAAAGATATGCAAGAAATCGTATCAAATGTCCTACACCAAAAAAATACCCTTATCAATGCAACGCTATAAGATAATATAGATGCGGTTGCATTTATCATATTTATCAATATTATTCACACTGCACCATTACTATATAATGCTCTGACACATGAATTTCATAAATTTATTAAAATAAGCAGTCGTTTGTTACTGAATATACTTTTCCAACTCCTTTGAAAATGAGTACTTTCAAATATTTGAGACGAGAGCTAATACTTTCCTACATTGAAGGTGGAAGAAATGAATCGGCTCTAGAAACATTTTTACGAGATTGTTATGAACTTTCGGAGGACAATTTACGTTTGATAATTAGTGATTTAAAAAAAATTGCTAACACAGTTTAACAGTCGATGGAGCCAAGCATCACGAAAGAAAGAAGCCTTTTTGAGGGTTAACAGTGGTCGGTTGGATCAAGAGTTTTCGCCGGTTGCAGGCCCGCGGCAGTGCGCGCGCGGCGCCTTCTGGTGCGGGCGCCACTGCGTGCTGGCCGCGTACGTGTGCGACGGGTTCCGCGACTGCCGCAACGGCGAGGACGAGGCCGTGCCGCTGTGCGCCGACCGGCCCTGCAACAGTCAGTGTCCCTCCGCGCGTCCCAGCCGCTACTGGGGACGAGTTCGGGAATGTAACACTTTTGGGTGGCATATGTGCACGCGGAAGGAAAGTGCTTCAAATATCGTAGAGAGCATACATATATATATTTTTTGATTTGTTGTTGTTGTGTGGCTCCGTAACTCGCTGAAGGTTACGCGATAAGTGCCCACCGCTGAGTGCGCCGACGTCGGCGCAAGCGCCCATACAAGCCTTTCATGTAACAGCATTCGTCCCCGCACGACTGTACACGACGGGCAACGCTATTTTCACTTCTCTGAGCGCGTGCTTAGGTTCCTTTTTCCTCGTAGCGACCGCTGGTGTCATTAGTCAGATTTAGTAAGCTATTATAGCGTAGTTACTTTCGGTTTTGTACAAGAGTGATGTATCTGTCACGTAGTCACTATTAACTAATGTATGACATAGTGCCTTATTCTCTCTTTAGTATATTTCCTCCGTGTCCCATAGCCGTAGGACAGCCTGTATATATCATTCTGCTGGCGCCTAATATAGCGAAATTCTGTATAACAATCGTGGTAGTAAAACATTATCTTCAACAAGTAATATTGAACACAGCGACGTCATACGGCAGCTTTTGGTGGTTGCGAAGGTATCTGGTCGACTGAGGAACTTATGTTCTCATAGATGGCGCTGACTACGAAAAAAGCCGTTTAAACCTAATACATATTTGTGTAACAAACGCTTAGAAAATAATCGTAAGATCTGCTGAATCGGTCTGTAGTTCAGTTGGTTAAGAGCGGTTGTTCCGGCATGGCATCACTCTTTTTTTTTTAAAAGCTTATCCCTTAAATTATTTAATTTAATAAAAAAAATTATAAATTTAATAAATTACATAATTTAAGGGATTCGCTTTAAATTAAATAGTTATAATGAATATTCGTATTTAAAAATGTTATGATTTATATTTTTAATAAATGTTCATAAATCAGATGGAAGGATTATTTTTTTGCATTGTAAAAATTAAAGTATTTTTAACCTATTATGTGGGCTTCCCAAAATGTTACATTTCTAATTTAGTCTCTTTATTATTGCGAGTGAGATGTAAACGTTGGTGGCGCACAAATGAAACTTCACACCATGTGTACAAATGTCTAGGACCAGACAAACTGAACTGTTCGACGGGCCGGTGCATCTCCGAAGCGGCCTGCTGCCGCGCACGGTCCCCTCGCTGCCAGCACCCCTCCTGCTGCGACGAGCATCCGAGGTACTCTACGTTAGAAGGAGGTGAGTGCATACACGTTAAGTCTGTTTCAAACTGGTTTTATTGCCATGGCTCAGTTAGCAATATTGAGCCGGAAAGATAATATTAATGCAGTGGCATTTTCCTTCCTTCAGGTTACATGGAGGTGGAGTACCCTCCGTTGTTCGAGGACCGACACGCTCCCGACGAGTATGGGTTCATTCAATCCACCATTTATACCGTCACAGGTATGAATCTAACCCTATTTTTTATCGTACTATACACTCAAGTTTTATTTAGCGTGATTTTTGTAAAACGAGATTTAAAATGGTTGGACAACAGCGAAAAAAAAGAATTACAGGCAAAAAAATCCTTGTAATGGCTCCATCATTTTCGTTCAGTATTTTCAACTTTTGACTGGTGTCAACTGTCAGATGTGGAAAAATATTCGAAAAAAAATTAATTTTATTAAAAAAATATTAATTTTTCAAAATCTTAATGCCAATCGATATATCTTCAAAATTCATGGAAAATCTTCTAGGACTTGCTGACCCATTTGAAACTCCACACTGTAGACACATGTGTATTTAATATAATAAGTTTTATGTATATATATATATATATATATATATATACATTGTATATACATATTGTATATACATTGTACTATGTATGTGTAATTACTTATTTGATTTTCATTACATAATATATTCAACTGCCTCAGTGGCCGAACGGTTACCATGCCGGACTGTCATGCAGAGGTCCCAGGTTCGATTCCCGTGCCGGGAGACATATTTATGTGGCCTACATTTAATTCTCTCGTGAGTTTGGGTGTAATTTGTGGTTGTCTACGTGTGTGTCCATGGCACCCGCGACACAGGGTCTGTGTCTTATTTTCTCAAACTCGTATCTTATAAAGAGTGATTATTCAGGAGATTGCAAGAATTTCTATTTATTTTAAATTTCTTATCAAGGGTGTTATTTTAGATGTGTTACTTTAAGAATAGGTAAAAGCCAGTGTGTGAATATGAAGGAAATTTGATGTGAAATCGGCCTACAAAATTTGTATACACAACCCATTTTTTGTGTCCCAAACTCATGGTACTACGTTTTCGTTTACCTAAGGCAAACGATTCTTTTATAGGGAATTACAATAACATTCCGGAGCTGATCTTAATTTATGATTACCGTTTTCTAAGTTTAAAACTTACATTGAAAGTATTTTAATTGAAGAGTCATATTACAAAATTGTAGATTACTAATCCGCACGTGTATCAAACGACGTTTTTTAATACATTTGCGAAAAAACTACATTGAAAGTAAAATAAAACAGTATTTTAAAAAAAGACTCGTTTTATTTCTTCGGCTGATAAAAATTTAGACATCAATGGCAACTGTTGCCAGTATCGAGCCACATTAAAATTATTATTTTGGTGGCGCTTCACGCAGCGCTCTCGCGTAACACTCACCTCCGGTCGTTGTTAATACTCCATCAGCCATCTTTATGGAAAATATTTTGGTATTTTTAAATGTAACCCGTTGTTTTATAAAACACCTATGCAATTTAAACAAATAAGATGTTAGTAAGTAGATATAAATTTTAATGACGAATAACTTACGTCACAAAGCACATAAATATTGAATAAATGTACAATCTCTTTGAAAATGGAAAAGTAAAAAGCTGCAGTGCGAAAGTAGAGCGACCGTATTGAAAGAGCTGTTATAGTGTTAAGAAGGAGATTGTGTGAAAATTGAGTGCACAATCTTCGAGAAATTGAAACGAGCCGCTGGCCTGTTGCAGCGTGCGCGCTGATCTTCATGATCGCCGTGGTGCTGCTGGTGTCGGCCATCTGCAAGATGCACATGAAGCGCGCGGCGCTGCGCGGCTACGCGCACGCCGACCGCGCGGCGCGCCGCCACTACGGGCTGCACTACGCGCAGGTCTGCTCCCGCACTTCACTTTGTTTCTGACTGAACCTCTGAGAGTGTGTCTAACCGAGTCCCCGTCAGGCGCAGCGCTTCCCGCCGTGCTACGAGGCGTCGCGCCTGCTGGAGCAGGCCGCCGCCGCGTCGCCGCCCGGCAGCCCCGACCGGCCCGACAGGCCCGACAGGCTCGACAGGCAGCCCTTGCAGGTCTTTTTCATTATTCTCTTTCATCTTTTCTCTACTCCTGCACTTTATTCTGTCACTTATCATTTTATAAACCATGTCAAAAGCCGCTCTTTTGAGTTCTGGACCAAAATTCTATGGCCTATGGTACTCGCTACCGAACTGAGAAATTTCAAAAAATAACGTTTTTTTCCTAATTAAAATATTAAAACGCTGTACTGCTTCCTGATTGGTTAAACTATAAATGGTACTTGACCAATCACGAATACGCCTATTCGCGTTTGTTTGGCTTTCGCTAACTTTGTTGTCGTGGATTGTTTAAAAAAAAATATGTGTACATTAAGTATTGATTGTGTTTCATTATTTGAATTTACTCGTAGAAATAATGTTGTATGTAACCAAAATCGCGTACCTATTACTTACTGAACGCGTTACTCGAATTTAAGAACCCTCATAATTCTCATTGGTAATTATTTTGATAAATTTACAACGATAATTGTAATTGGAACAACAAAATGCTAACGCTAACAATGTCCTGCCGTATGTTGATGTGGCACAACATTGCATGAAAAAGGCTGTTTTTAACCGACTTCAAAAAAAAGAAGGGGTTCTACGTTCGGCTGTACGTATGTTTTCAGATATCTCCGTCAATTGTGAACCGATTTTGAAAATTCTTTTTTGTTTGATAGAATGCACTCCCCACCATGGTAGTTCCATTGTCACCAAGTCAGAATCTGATGAGGGGATCCCATGAGAATCGAAGGAAATCCTCAAATTTTACCAATTTCTCCATCAATAGTGCACCGATTTTGAAAATTCTTCTATTGCTTGAAAGGGTATATTCTCAAGGAGATCCATGATGCTGTTCCGGGTTCGTTTCGGCTATCACAAATTACTACTTGTTTCGTTTCCGCAAACAAAATTTGACTTTTCACTTGACACAATATATGTATGTAATCAACCAATCACCCACACCATGACAACCAGAAGAGAAAACATGAAATGCACAAAGAAGTCCGTAACAGTCCCATTGTCATCAACTAGTCAGAGTCTGATGAGAGGACCCCATGGAAATCAAAAAAGCCGATAAGCAAACTTTTGAAGTCGGTTTTTTTTTTTTCAATAAAAAAACTTACAATTATACTCTCTCTGAAAAAAAAATATATAAACAGTATACTAACCAAAAACGACAATTTTTTGGAAAATGATCTTTTCTAAATTGGTACTTGTCTGAAAGTCCCGTTGGTCGGGTAGTCGTACTCACAAACTACGCTATATATTTCAGTGCAACCCGTCATGTCCGTCCGACGACTCTCCCGCCGAGGAGCAGCCAGCTGATGCTGCAGAAGACAGCCCCACCGGCTTCGGCCTTGCACGGCTGTCGGCCATATTCTCCAGTCGATACCGACAGGTCTGTATTTGCTCCTAATTCCTAGTTTTAGTCTAGGCTATCGTGATGTTTTACGTCTATCAAATTTAGCGGTGATAATTCTGTGCGGTAACAAAAAAAAGCGCTAGTGTATCAGTCCTATGTAAAACGCAGGAGCCTGTGGATACTTGCACATTTGAATTTACCATCAAGTACAGATCTGAAAAGTGTAAATTTATTTTGATTTGTAGAAAGTCCTAGAACAAAGTTGTCGTTTATGATCTTAGTAATACAGACCTGAGAGGTTGTTAGAATTTTGCAAATAAGCCAAACTACAGAGCGTCTCATGATTATATCGTGCATTTGTTGTACCTGTGTCTGGTTGGGAAAAAAAATACCGCAAAAACGATTGAATATTTTGTTTACCTCGAGACTAAAAGCCAATATAAACGCTCGGAGTAATAGACACCTCATTCCTACTCGGTTATACGTTGGCTCATTTTAGTCCCTAGGTAAAAATATACTATTAATACGTTTCCTTTCAATCTGAATAATCCTGTGAATGTGAATATGGAATGTGATTTGTGGCAGGTGCCGCAGGCGTGCACCGACGTGGAGATGACGGCGGTGCAGGGGGTGGCGGGGGCGGCGGGGCTGGCGGGGTCGCCGCGGCGCCGGCCGCCGCCGCTGCCCTGCCGCAGCCCCACGCTGGACCTCGACGCCGAGGTGCCTCCTCTTTTCTCTCTTTGTGACCGACGTCTTTTTTCGAAATTCATTTCCAATAAGATCTAGGACACAATTTTCTATCATAGCAACACGTTTCTTATTGGTAAGGTCATTTATTAGGTGACTGTCGATTAGTGGTTAATTAATTAGTGGATTTTTGGAGATTTGGAGATATTCTAGTTTAGGTTTTTTTAGAAATAATTGTAATAGTTTTTTGTTAAACATACTACAGCATAATCTTTCCTGAGGGTTATATCTGTCAAGTAAACTAATCACTATTGACGTATAAATAACTCACTCACTGTTTACGATACAACTCTTATAATAAAACATAAATAAAGCACTAATAGATGTAATAAGTTGGATGGACATCAATGACCTACGTATTAATGTTAAATTTATGACATTTAGATTGTATAATTCAAATCCCATACCAATTAAAATTCATTACAACACCGACACTATAGATGAAGTTAACACATTTCACTTTCTTGGATTGACAATCGATAAACATCTTAACTGGAGGGATCACATCGAAAAAAATTCTATGAGACTAAATAGATTTGTTTACGCTCTGCGAAGACTAAGGCAAATTGTCTCTCGAGAAGCAGCCTATCACGGCTACGTTTCGTCCGTACCCAGCTACGGTCTTATACTATGGGGCACCTCAGTAGATTTAGAAAGAGTGTTCAAGGTTCAGAAGAAGTGTATTCGAGCGGTCTGTGGTGCGCGGTTCGATGATAGCTGCAAACCGTTGTTCAAAAAACTAAACACTGCCTTTGCCATGCATGTATATAAGGGACATCTGCGTATTCGTGAACACTGACCCTCAATATTTTAAAACACGCGGTGAAGTGATACAAAGGCAAACCAGAGCTAAAATCATGAATCTTTTATACCAACCTCGATGCCATAAAGTAATTGATAAGAATAACTGCTTCAATTTATGCATAAAGATCTTCAATAGTTTACCAAATGAATTTAAATTACTACACGGAACTACGTTTAAATCACAATTGACAAAATGGCTTATGACACATTGCTTCTATAGTAATAAAGAATATCTAGAATTTGCAATTACTAATTTATATTGATTTGAAGTGCAATTAATTGTAGAGGTCAAAATATTTAATTCAATTAATATTTGCACACCTGCTTGCAGGTTGAATACATTGTACCTATTTTTATTTTAGATCTGTATAATTATTGTATTCTGGCAAATAAACGTTTCTATTCATGCTATAAATACAAAAGTTATTTCAAATTAAAAGACACAACTTCCGTTAAAATGTCGATCATTGGTACCATCGCCCTAACTCTTTTTAGTACCAATAAAACTCTTGTGAAGAACTACTGCCCCCATGCCTATTTCTCAGTCAGTCAGAGTGCTGGTGAAATTCCAGGCGCGTGGAACTTATGTCTCAGGGTAACAGACGATGTTGCAATCTTAGATATTTGCGATTTAAAGCTTGACTGCAACTGCCATAGACAGGCGTGTCGCTCACCACTAAGAACTTGTTCGTCCCGTCACTTTATAAAAAAAAAACTTAAATACTATTAACAACACTACCGCGACGTTCCGTAAAACTGTGATAACTTCAAAGCTGCCTGCACCTTTAGAAAACATGACGTGTATGGATTCTTAACAACTATAAATATTATATTTCCCATGTACAGATGTTCTACGACCCGGACATAACAGCGTGCGGTCGCGATCTCAACTACATGGCGACACCGCTGGAGTTCTACCGCAGGCGGACGCTTCGAACCAATCTAGACCGAGTTCTAGACCAAATCAACCGTCCCCGCCCCCTCACCTTGCAACTCGGTAGGTTCCAACTCAGCATACCTAGGTTAGGCCGCAGGACGTCCACCGAAAGGAGACCTGACACTCCCAATGTGGCGGAGCTGAATATAGACGATCTGGACTTTGTTAGACTGAATTCTAACGAGACGTATACTTTAAACGGCCGTACTATTCGTCTTTTGGGTGCAAATTTCGAAAACTACCCCGTTTTAAACGATAACTTGAGTACGACTGTACGTCCGCCGCCGTACACTGAAGCTATGAGGTATAAACTCTACGGGCCGCCTCCGGAATATCTGAGCCGGGACGCGTTGAACAACGAAACGAATAGCGAAGTAACCGTTACTGAGGAACAGGCGAGAAATAACGTTGAAATGCCGCCTTGTTACGATGAATTGGCTTCTGGCGGCGATAGCGCCAATAATAACGTCGAAACTGGTGTTAGTAATGTGGCAGAAATCAACGAAGCCTCGAGTGGTCAAGCTAATGTAGCAAGTAACACAAATAACGTAACGAATAACGATGCTAACATTGAGAATTTAAGCGCCGTTATTGATAATCTGCCTGCCATAGACAGCGATGTCAACGCTAACGAAACTGAAACGCGTTGCAACGAAGTAACCGTTAACAATAACGTTAATAATAATTAAGCATTTAGATCTCTTATGTAGCACCATTCCTTGCCAGTTTAATGTCCTCATAGTGCCTTAGATTCTTAAAAATCGTTCACAAATTAGATTAAATGTTAGCAAAATTTTAAAATTTATTCGAATTAAAATAAAATCAAAATATTTTTTCGTAATAATTATAAGACTAAGAAACGACAATGTAATTTATAAGCGCAGCTGTTCGTGAACCGTTCTTTTTTGTAATAATGTTTTGTGAAACGTTATTTTTAACGTTATTTTAGTTAAGCATGTTATGTTGCCATAACGATGTACCGTTATTTTTTAAGCAGTGATACTCATTTTAAGTGTAAATATTTATAACTTCCTTTTTTCTTAATAATAATTATTATCATATATAATTACGATTATTATGTTTTACCCATAAATTTACATATATATATACTTTATTCTTTTTCTGGTCTTCCTTTAGTTAAAATGTACTTTTATTTTTATATAATTATATAGGCGATCAGTACTTTGACAACCCGTATAAGAATGGCTGTATCCAGCAGGTAACACAGTACCCTCATTTTAGTTTAGCTGTAATTGGGCAAAATCTCGCGTTTATGCTCCTTTTACAGAGCCGTGTTGAACTGTGGTATAGATCAGGGTATATCCATATTGTTATTTTGAGGTGCATTGTCTTTGACATCCAACTTGATACAGTATGTTCTAATATGTGCATAAATGTGTCGATTCTGTAATTACCAATTCTTAAAACTAATCTAAGATCTAAAAAGTTTTAGAATTGGAACCTTCTCTTTAGAGGACAGTACGTGAAGAGAATTAATGCTAAAAAATCAAGTGTCCAGGTTGTGAAGAGAATTGATACGAAGTTACAAAGTCGAGAACATTTATTTATATTTGGCATTATTATTATATTTTTTAAATCTTAACAAATATTTTTTGCTATTGAAACATATCGCTAGCACAATAAAATTTGTGGTTGTTTATTATAAAGTTATAAAAAACGTGTTATAATAAATTTAACGTTGCATATGTGTAAATACGTTGTTCGTAATGAATCGTCGCTTGGGTTTAGTACAAAAGACAACATAGTGCCCATCTCTAGTTTTTCAAAATCAAAAATATATTTTTATTTCATTGGTAAACAAATGACACTTAAAATCTCGTCATATTGTTTAAACTCTACTAAAGCCGTTTAGATAAATAAAAATAAGATCCGCAACAAACACATAGAAAAATTGTTGAGGTTCGCGACTCGTTTTATAGAGACTTAAAATTTGCATTAAAAAAATAAAGATAATCAAAATTATTATATCCGACATGCTATACAATAAGTACTACAATGTCAAATGGATTTATGACGTAAGTTCGAGTTCATAGTCCTCGGTCATTCTCGGACTAGTGTTCACTACCTAATTTCCGTGGCAATTTTGTTATCGTAAAATATTATTTTATATTCGATTATTGTGTCGTGAAATATTATTTAATAATTACACGATAATATACTTGATTATTTAAATATAAAAACTGCCACGGAAATTGCTGTTGACGACCACGGAGGTGTTTGACACCTACAAACAAAAATAAACGCGTTTTTCGGACATATTGCTTTTTTGCCTGGTTAAAAAGTACGGCGGTACCCTAAGGCACAAATTAAAAACCGACGTCCCGAGATTGCTTATCAAATTACGACAACATTTAAAGATATATTAAATATACAATTTGTGTAAAAAAAAAAGTTCAATAGTTTGTTGGAACTTAAACTGTCTGCATATATATTATTACACAAAAGAAGAGATACACTATGCAAAACCGAAAAGCGTGCATGTGCGCGGAGTCCGTCAGTATGCGACTGCCTGCCCAAGTGTTTTTTTTTTTTTTTTTTTTTTAATTTATTGGAAGACCAATGGCTATATTACAGAGTAAAAACTGAAATAATAATGGAGAGCCTGTAGGTCCTCACCGATAGACGGACATACATTAAATTCAAGAGCAATAAATTTTATAACTATTCAATATAGGTAATGGCATTTTCGCAACACTTAGTAAATACGTACTCGCCAAAAAACAAACTACTAATTAGTCGCTTCACCGACGCAACACTACTGTTAAAAAGGTCAATATCAACCTGCCTGGATAATACATTGAAGATATTATTGTACAAAGTACTCTGTGTGCCTGCCTGCTGTCCTACGCCACGGCGACTAGTTCGAGGAGGGAAAATGATACCATACTACAAATTTAAAAATCAGTATGGGCACTATATTGTTTTGAGTCTTGTGTGTGTTGAGTCCGTCTTTTTTGAAGACGAAGTGAAATGACATTTGCAGGGTTGCCAAGCTGCTTGCAAGCGGGCAACACTTGCGCATTCAATTGTCATTTTACTCCATCTTCAAAAAAGATTGACTATAAATAACGCAAAACGAAGCACCCTGTTGCTTAGACACCAAAATATTTTTGTCACTCTCTAGTTATTAAGTGTTCATGCCTATTTTAATGTAAAAACAAAATGCTCCGCTATTATTACTTTAATTTAATCGATAGTCGATAAATGTAATTCGATTTTATCTTCACGCAAAAACAAACTACTTGTTAGTAAGTATGTTTTTACATAAAACACGTCGTCACCTTTAACATGAATGGGTTTGGGTTCATTTTTGCACGACTTAACGTATATTACAGTTTTATAGTTGATTCAAGATTTAATGTAAGCAATAATGCAAGGGTTTTGGAGGACGGGAGCGAAGACAAAATTAAACTAAACATTCGTCACGTGATTTATGAATGTTACCTTTTAAATATAATTAAGAAATGCAAAAATTCTGTAGAATTTAACAACAACAACCCTGTATCGCGGGTGCCATGGACACAAACATGGACAACCACAAATTACACCCAAACTCACGAGAGAAATAAATGTAGGCCATACAACATACTAAGGTTGCCTGATAGAAATTGCTACTTAGCAATAAGGCAGTTTGTTGTACATTAGCCTAATCTTGCGACACATTACAGTTCTGTGTTGTCATTGTGATACTTAGTGTGCAATAAAGAATATTTCACTCATTAATTCATTCATCCAAATATTTATACCGGTTCGGGAATCGAACTCGTAACCTCTGCGTGGCAGACCAGCATGGTAGCCATTCGGCCACAGACGCAGTTTAATTAGACCTCATTATTTTAATCACCACGATCAATCAATAAAATTGTGCAATATTTTTTTTATTGTAACAACATAGAACACGAAGTTCTTTACGTCGAAATTGTAAGATCTTTTTTCGTCAAACTTGTGCGTCCACTCTTGCTAAAGGGAATGTACGTCCGTTCTGACAAATGGAACAAGTGTTTCAAGGAGTATTTTATATTAAATACTTGTAATGATATATATATATATTCTGTATTCTATACACTCACATAAAATCTGAACTAATTTCTCTAAAATCTTAAAAAGATAGCTTAGTTCTTTAATCTACTTGAATTGTGAACATGTTTAAAGTTAGTTCACAGTATGCGAGTGAACTGCGCACGCACATTGTAATAGCGAGAACGACGACAACAATTAAGATTTATTGAAATTAGTTTTTATTGCTTTTCAGAATATGTTATTTTACTATTAATATTTAAATAACGTAGTGATTTCGAAGTTTAACGATAATATAATCAATTGTACTACCTCTAATTAAAACATGGCTGATGATTCTTTTACTGAAAAATAGTTTAAACTTTTAAACTAAAGTTTTCTCATTTATAAATTATAATTATCTCACTCACTCTCTAATAGTTATAAATTTCGATAAAAACAGCCTCTATGAACTGCTTTCAAATTGTTGCGAATATGTAAAATGTCCTATGTAAAATATTTGCGATTTTGTTATGAGATTCGATACCCCGTTGAACCAATTTAGAATACATACTTTTTAAAATTGTTTCTATGGCCGGATAGTAAATTAAGAGTAAAACTGAAGATGAAAATTGTTTTGGGTAAAAGATACATTTTTAATCTTTAAATGACACAGTCAGCCGGGGTTAGGGCGCGTTCACATTATGTCGTAACGTTTTATTGATCGTTGGACGACTCGCTTTTAGCCTGTTTCCATACCACGACCGTCTGTCGTGACTGTGTCGTGGACATTTTTTATCGTTGAACGACTGTCGTGTCTAGCTATTCTCACGACATTGGATCGTGACGACAGTTTATCGGTTCACAGCAGCCGCTTTGTCGTTTGAACGACAGAATCGTTTGATGCACAGCCGAGGGCGCGGGGGACGAGAGGGAGAGTAGGGAGCAGAACACGCGCAGACACTGCCTCCGTGGCCGAACGGTTACCATGCCGGACTGCTACGCTGAGGTCCCAGTTTCGATTCCCGGCCCGGGAGAAATATTTGTATTACCTACATTAATTTCTCTGTAAGTTTGGGTGTAATTTGTGTGTCAGTCGTGAACGACAGTTAATCGTGTAAACAACTTCATTGAATCATTAAGCAAAACAAATGATATTTACGTGTTCAGCAACACTGGATCAAAATTTCTAACATCCGCTGGTTACTATTTGGAGGCGGTCACCGCCCAAAGCTCTGTGGTCCAAATTCCGCATCCTATCGTTGGCCGGTGATTGACTCAACCTTTTTTGTGACTGTGACTTAAATGTTTAGTTCTAAGTACTGTAAGTGTAAGTTGTACAAACTAAATAAATTTAAATATATAGCCACGACATTTTAAACTGCACGACTATCGGTCGTCACGACATAATGGGATCTCGCCCTAAAGGATTCAAGTTCAAGAATCGGTGAACGATACGGGCCGTATCGAGCAGCACTGCTCTATGCTTTCTACGTTTGTGCTAAAAGGTACACCACCCAATTCAACCCAAAACAAATTGTTAACAAAACCCTACATACGGTGATAAATAGTGTGTAGGTGAGAAATACCTTCGACTGCGATCAACCCATTCATGTGTCATTTATTCTCACTGCTCTATTATTTAGTTTTCATTTCAACATAAGAATTGTCTCTCATGCTCTTTAGTGTAACTACTACTTATTATATATAATACAGTAATACATTAATATACAATAAATAACATACGTCCAACCAAATATTGTAAGCAACGTATATTATGATTTTTTAAACTTATTTGGCATATCTAACAATAAAAATCTAGCTTTGTAGATAAAGTTAACAATATAAGGATATAAGCAGAGAAGAGTAGAGCGTTGCTCTTGCAAAAAGAATTGCTTTTTTTCTGTTTTTTGTACTTTAAATATTATTAAATAGTGTGTACACAAGTAACGGAGACCCAATAAACACGACAATAATTTTTAGA